TTAGCGCTGGCGCTTTTACAAGAAGTATCTAAAAAGTGAGAGTATGTATTTGTCTTGTATCTATAGTATGTAGTGTTAAGGGATAGTGGGTATAATAGCGGGGATAAGGACATACATAATGTTACTCTTTACTGTTAGTGAGGCAGATTTAGTAGTAAAGGAGACTACATTTCACTTTTTACTAGCTATAATGTATAAAAGCAAGCTTAAGGCTACTATAAATCTATGTAAAAGAGGTACAAAACAGATGATCCTTGCTAAAATAATCAGCTAGTCTTCAGGTTATTAAAGCAAGCATACAAGGACTATAAAGAATGCCTGACAAAACCATCTTCAACAGCTCTAGGAAAACCAAGAAACAAAAAGGCCTATTAGTTATTTAATCCTGCCTACATTACATCTGTGAAAATATACAAGTAAGGTATAATATAATACATATAAGTTCTCTTACGTAGTATCTGCCAGTTCATTAAATCCTTGATTACAAGGCTGACAAAGCACTCTTAATTCTCTGTTAACACTTGAAGTCTATGCCTTTTAAGTTTGCCTGTAGATTAGAAAATTGTTTACCTTAATAACTATAGATTAAATAAGCCAGAGCACAGCTGTCTTAAAATATATCTACCTTTATTAACATATATTAAACAACATTCACTTAGGAAACACTTACCTATAGAGTTAAAACCTAATTGATTTGATGTGACTTAAGGAAGGAAAGAATGATGACACTAAGACATCTTAACAAGCTTGATATAAGTGTTAAAACTAACTGGTAATAACTTAATAAACTCGTGCTTAAACGCTAAGTGTGCCAGATCAACTACACATAAAAACTCAAGAGACTAAGAAATTTAAGGGTTAATAATATCAAGCTAACTTTAAGTATATAACAGCGGTTTTAGTGCTAAAACAATCCTTTAGTAATGAAGATAGTAGATTTAAAGAAGCAAGCTGATATACAAAAGACAATTTAGTAAAGATAGCCGAGAATTACGTTGACTTTTTTAGCTTATAATTTAGGCTAAAATATAGATTAAATGTGTACTCCTTAAAGAAATCTCTAAAGAAATATTGCCTAAGTCTTGTTAATATATAGTCTGTGACTAAAAATAGCTTCTTACTTGTTATATAAGTAAAACTCTCTTAGATAAAAGGAGCAATACTTTAATCCATTTCTTATTATAAGAAACAAAAAAGACTAACAGAGAGATGTTAAATCTTATAATAGCAGTAAATGTGATAGCAATAATAAGGATGCTTAAGATATATTCTTAAGATAAAGAGTGGTATTGGCGTGTGTGCTTATAGTGATGTCATTTAAAATGTAAGAAAAACGCGATGGCAATAATGACTACAGCTAGAGTGAATGATGATGCTATAATAGAGATAGTGTGTAGTATATACATGATAATAGTAAAAGTGTAAGGATAAATAACTAAGTGATCTGAACGAAAGGGAGGAAGGGGTATACTTGACTTATATAAAGACAGGAGTGTGGATTCTTGTGGAATCCTTATGCTTTGATAAGGAAGGACTTATAGGTAGGCTATCTTAGTTTATCTGAGTGCGCAAGTAGCTATGACCTGGAGGATCGCGCTTACCACCTAATTACCTTCAAGTTACGACTGCTACTAGAGCTCGCAGGACATGTCAACGCACTTTGCCGGAATAGACTATAAAAGGCGCTGATAAATGTCGGCCGGCTTATAAGAGTGGCGGAATTTGAGACTAAATCTTAAGATAGCTTATCAACAACACAGATTTTGAAAATCTTCACTATTGTTAATAAGATCTATCACTACTCGACAGCTATTCTACTCTTGGAATAAAAGGCTACCTGTCCTTTTTTAACATCTAATCTGTATGTAGCTAAAGTTACTATATAAACCCTACATTACGACGTAATATCAACTTAAAAAGTCACAAGTACAGGCATGGCTAGTCTGAGAGGCATTAAAAAAGGGATAGCTAAGCTTGAAAAGGGGTATGTCACGTGATCGTGTATTCTAAGCGATACCTTTAGTGAGAGGACGTATCTGTTACAAATTCATATCAAGGCAGACTTATAGCTTTAAAGAAGTTCCTAGTGTCTTTTAACAACACTACAATCCACTGAACTGCAGAAGCATTATGGCGCCAGCAAAGGCAAAGTGACGCGTACTAACCCCTATAAGGAACCCGGTTGTACATGTCAAGCGCTGGCTCGCATCCGAAATTTAGCTGTATAATAGAGAGGGTGGATATCTAGTCCTAGAATCCCTTGTCTAGACCTAAGATCTCACCCCGGTATGATATTATGCTAAAGTTCAAATTAAACTTGAATGTAACTAGTGTAATCTTGCTATGTTACGATTCCGTTTAATTAGTTAAAAACCACACTGATAAACATCTGTAACTAGCGGTAAGTGTACAGTTCTAACAGTATAAAAGACTTAATAATACCATTCTAAAGCTCGCTGCTACGCTTTTATCAGGATAAGCTTAAGCCATTTGCTACACAGATTATAGCTAAAGATCCTTTTTTGTCTGGTTAAAAAATAATTCCCTGTTAAAGATGTAAGAACTTTTTGACTAAGTGAGCTTTTAATGGTAGGTAATATATAGTCTTAAGATAGTGTTTGCTTGACTTTTTAACTTACCCTTAGCTTAAGCCTGATCTACACAGACTGCCGTGCTTTATTTGAGTTGATATGATAGTAAAGACAGGTTCTTTTTTTACAGTAAACAGTCACACTTGTTAAGGGCTTAAAAATCGTAACCCACTAGCTTAAAGGCTTACATACACATATAGTGGTCTATTATGATACGTTTGCTATAGAGTTCTCAAGCTTGCCAGAGGTTTAAAGAATAAGCCCTTGTGACTACTTAAGCTGTCTTTTATTAAATTAATATCAATACTTGCCTGCTTAACAGATTAACGCCTTTACAGATAAGGGTAAAGCTTAAAATTCCTTACACTATTAGTTGTTCTTAGATACTAAGTGTGAAGTACTTCTCTAAAAACTACAGGCTATTAGGAATTTAAGGCTTAGATGCGGCTTGTAATATCTGAGTTAGATATTACTTGCACCTTTAGCGTTGATTTCTTACGTATTTAAGCAAGGGTATTTAGCTTAGAATTGTAGTCATGACTCTTAGTAAAATAGTTGTTTATAATAGCAAGGCAAGCGAGACTTGTGTTGTCAGGGGTTTTTAAGTATAAAAGGAAGATAAGTAGTCAACTATCCTTTATTCTCATTTACTACTATTTAATACCTTTGATTCACGGTATAAGTCCACAATGCCAGAATACAATAAAAGGGGGAGACGATATTCAAGGTACCTAAGTGTAAGTCATTATCATGTATATTGTCCCCCTCTATAATAAGGACTAATCTTTCTCCTTATAGACTGTATAGTCGTTTTAAAGAGTCAACTTTATCAGATGTAGCTACTACTTTTTCCTTTAAGCTAGTATAATATAGATTTTATTTCAGGCTTGATATTTTAGACTGACTATAACATCAGGCGTTAATACAAGCCCCTTACTAGGGTGAGGACAGTCAAGTCACCTTACTGTAAAGTAAGCTTGCATTAATTACCTTTATCTACACACTCACTAACATCTTTAGATTTTAATGATAAGCTCCAGGAATAGGTAGCACTGTTTTTTACGGGGAAGTTTATAGAACAGGAAGGATAACCTAATAACCCTATCACTATTTCTATCAAGATGGCTCGCTTTTACTAACTTATAACTTGAGGTTTTATTTGTAAGTTTACCTATTATCTGTTAATAGCTATTTTTAATCTTCTTTTGTCCTTTTTAAAGGTTTTAGAAAAACTGTAATCAGAAAAGGGACAGTTAGAATGTAACAGTTAGAAATTGCAAAGTAAAAACCAGCATCTGTAACAACACAACTAGTAACTATAAGTAAAGTGGCATAAAATAAAAGGCAAGTAGCTTCTTCTCTAATAATCTTAACTAACTGTATACTTAACTAACTAGCATTACAGCCTGTACATGCTTTTTAAAATCTGAGTATAATCAATTAAAAGGTTGGTTTTACTATTTATTAGAATCCTCTTATAATACTAATTTTAGTAGTTAAACACAGTGTCTTAAAAAAGAAGGAACTTAAATGAGAACATACAGTTGCATGCTTAAATAAAAGTAATAATAACCTGCAAGAACAGTTAGATGCTGTAAAGCGTGAGCTACTTAAGAGTATGTGAGGTGGATTTAGTAGCTTGAAAAATACCATACAAGTAACAAAGCAAGGTCACATAGTAAGGACATACATATAATAAATGCTTATGTAGTGTAAATTCACTTAAAGCTGTATATAGTATAATGTAATTAAGAGAGGAATCTGTGAAAGTCACGTGTAGGTAGATAGATATTATATTCTTTGCAAAATTTAAAGACGTTATAAAAGACTACTCTGCTTATTAAGAGCTAAGAAAAGGTTTATAGTAATGTAAAGGTATGCCTTAACGACATTAATTGCATTAAAAAGGAAAATCATAATAAAGATCTGAGCTTAAAATATTAGCTTTAATATGTAGCCTTTAGATTCGATGACATTCTGTACCGCACTACCAGTGTTCTTAATAGTATCTGCAGTGTGACACACACCCCCCACTATAGTGATATGGGATCGTTTTCAAAAATACCGAGTGATATGGGACTGTTCTTAAAAATACTAAGTGATATTTATCGAGAGACCACTACACTGATTATCACTACGTAGTATACTAGCACACTGACTCGCCATAAAGTGGGACAAAAATAGGGGGTAATGCCAAGGCTTTTTAGCCTTCGAGCTCCTTCTTAACCAAATTTAGATAATAATCTATTCTATATTAGGTTTAGCGCAGTATCTTTGCAATATCCTAATATATTGGCGTACAATACGGTGATATTGTTACTCCTACCAGTGATATTGTTCTCAGAGATACGGTACGACGTACGTATCAGACCACCTGCAAACTGAGCTAGTAATACAGAACGTACACTATTAGGAACACTGCGCACTACCTTGTTCACCGTCCAAAACAGCATCGACAGGTGCCGTAATTCTAGAGAATTCTAAAATCATGTCTTGGCCCTCTGGAAGCTCACGGACAAAATCATCGTCGACCTTGATATTGAACCCTTTCTGGTTGACACTTATCATCTGGAGGATCTGCGTAGGCTCGAAGTTGTATTTTGCAGCGATGCTGATTAGGAGTTCTTTGACTTCGCGCTTTGTAACATACACTGCTTGATAATGTTCCTTCTTAGCTGAATCGTCTGGTTCCCGATACAGAACGTAGAAGCAAGCGACTTGAAGATCGTTAGTAGAAACTTCTCCGGGTGTATAAAGGTGCTAAACGTACCTGGCTTCATCGGTCGCTCTGGTGGGGATCTGGAGGAAGAATTCACCTCGAGAGCTTCAACCCCTTTCGCCAATGTGCCATGACTGTCTTGCTGCGGCATCTGAACCTCCACAGGCTGATCTGGAGGTCTTGGCAAATTTTGAGGATTCGACTGCTGCAGCCCACTGCTAGTCTGCGCCATCGGTTGGAATTCGCCCCGCTAGCCGTGTGTTGGAAACTCAGCCTCTGCTGAAGCCTCGCATCCAGAATGTACAATACCTCGAGACTTTGCTGAGCTAGGGCTTAGTAAAGGGGACATTAGCGTGCAGGTTCCAGCAATATTCAAGCTGCGACTGCTTATCCTCTGTCGCTAGGCCGTGCTCTCTTCTTGCTTGACTTTTACGAGGTCTGGAGGTTCGCCTGTAAGTTTGATAGGATGCAGATTAGGATCATCCTGCTCCTGTCCACGGACGTATAAGACGCTGACAGGCCGTGTGCTGGCGAACATGTCCTGTATCGTCTGCAGCTTGAGGGAGAGATCTTCCTCGGTGGGGCTTGCAGATGATATCGACCAAGTCCTCTTGCGCTTCAGAACGTTGCCCAGTCTGCTCCGCGTGACTTTCGTATCAATCGGCCTATCTCGTTTTCTCTTCCCGGATCTAGTCTCAACTTGAGCAATTTGCTGCTTGAGCTTGTCGATGGTCTTTTTGACACAGGTGATATTGTTCCAGAGTTTTCTTTGTGAGCCATAGTCTCTGAAGACCTTTACTTTGTAGAAGCAAGTCTCGGGAACTTCTGGAGAATAATGCAGCGAATTAGTTGAGATGACTTCTGTCTTTGCATAAAGTCGGCTTGGAATGCCTTTGACGCCTTTGGAGTGGCTAAAGTCTGTCGATAAGAAGTTGAATCGCATAGCGACATGGCAGTCCACTGAGCCGCCCGATCCTTGCGTCCAGAGGACTGAGAATCCATCGAGAGAAGCAGTCTCGAGATTGGCTCTGGTCCTTATGCTATGGTCCTCGGTGACCTGTGGTTCTTCGACGTACTCGACGCCTTGCAACTTTCCGCCGCGTTGGTGAACGTCTTTAGTTCCACGAGCGTCCTTCCAGAGTTTCCAATGCGTCGCAGCTGTGTGCCCCTGCTGCCCATCCTCGAAAGAGATACGAATAGCCGTGCGGTACTGAACAGGTATTGGCCCTGGCATTGGAGGAGCTGTATCAACAATTGAAACCGAGTAAACATGGCCTTTGTTCAAGTATGTCATAGGAATTTCATCGGCTTGGTTAATTATAGCAGTTGCTGCATTTAACGTAACGTGAAATCGAAATCTGTAATCAATAATAAGTTAGCGGCAGGCTCAGAAAGAGGGCTAACTGGCCGCTGCAGAACGTATAAAGAGTAAGGTGGATACACACTTATTTGTAGATGCCGGAAGAGGTGGGGACATGCTCGTATCGTACGGTCGAGACGAAATGTTCATGCTTGGAGAGTCGGAGTGTATCTCGGTCTGTACAGGATCGTCGCCTATCGGAGACGTTTCTCCTGAAGTACCTAGAGGCTCGACGTCTGGCGGCTGATCTGAGAGATAGTATGGTGCGAAAGTCTGATGAGGGTCGAAAAGGTTGAAATTATAGAACTCATGTGGTTGCGCTGTCTGCGGAGGGAAGCAATGTCTATCCGTCATCCATCCAATGTGTACTCCGTCTTCCGAGGTAGGGAGCACCAGTGGCATTCCTAGACCCATCCCCATTTCTACTCCAGGTATAGGTAGATCAGCATCTTCATTATAATGGAGCGTACTAGTCCCTTCTGCAATAGGTTCAAAGCATCCAGGAAGTTGGCCTGTAAACGGAGCAAAGAGGAAGGAGTTCGAGTTGAGTAACGGTGGGGTATATCTCCAGGGTTCGTGAGACGCTCGAGGCGTTATGTCTGGATCATTGAGACGTTGACTTCGGTTTCTGCAAGTATAGTCTTTCTATTAGCCAGAACTCCAATTCAAGTCCTAATATATTCTCTTGAGCAGTGGTGAAGTCCGCGAGTCGTTGTACTCGAGGAAGAAAGCGAGCGAGAATTACCTTGGTTGATCTGATGTGGAGTCGGTGAGGCCATCGCCGAGTGGTGTTTGTCCAGAACTTGCGGCGGCAGACGATGTAATAGTACTTACTTCAGGAAAGAACTGTCTGAAGCTGGCGTAGAGTCCGTCTGCGGGCTTTTGGGAGTTCGTTCTGATAGTGGGTATCTGTCAGCTCACGACCAAGACATCAATCCGTACGATAAGAAACAACGTGCAGAGCTATGATTGATTCTTATGCAGGATAAAAGCTGGACTAGCTCACCGACGTCGAAACATTTGAGATAAGTTGTGAGACGACGCGCTCATTCATGTTGTATGTTTTTAGTCTCAGTAAGGGTATGCGCGACAGAAAATACTTTGTGCGACATGTGAACGATGCTGGTTAGCGACCTATCTGGTGGACTGCGCGAGAATCGTCCGATCTGTTTCTTGAAACTCACCTTCGTGGGGAGAGCGCAAGCTCTCGCGATAAAAGCAAGGCACCAATATTTCTTCACGCCACATCATGCCAAAACAGATAGTGGCCGCGACAAGTCCACTGATATCAATGGCCACTTATCAAAAGACCCTGCATGCGGAGCCAAATTTCCCCGCATGGCCGCTCCCGATCCCACCAAGACTCGTGCGGGGTCGTCTGTTGCTTTCGCGGGTCATGCAGGGCTAATGACATGGGCCATCGCCTGACACCTTCGCAACTTCACCACGCCACACAAACGAACACCTTACTTCGAAAACGGGTATTTTAACACGGAGTATAGGTTGTGTAGTTTGGCTATTTAGAGAATTACCTACATCCTGCCCAGATCCCAATAATAATAGCCTTTAGTAAGCAGGTCGCCTGTGAAGAGGTAGTCTGCTGATGATCGTCGAGGAATCGTGTCGGACAAGAAAGCATAGACTGTGATGCGTGGACAAAAGAGGAACCCAACCGTTCCTAGTAAGTTCCGAGCTCATGATAAGCAACGACCAATCAAAGCAGATGTGTTGAAATTGTTGTGTCGAAGCACCAGATGACTTTTGCGATGGCAGGATGCAGGATTGTGGCCAGGGAGCCTGCGCAGGGTCCTCCAAATTAAGGGTCCAATGGCTTGCAGTACAGTCCAATCAATTTCGGAATGACGTCGAAAACAAGCCGAAAACAAGCCGAAAACATGCGAAAGCACGGCCCAAACAAGACGATCCTACTTGCTCGGCAGTTTCAAGGGTGCTTTTTGTTGGCAACGTCTGAACCTTATATTGATATGCTGGAAACTGTGAGCCTACGAATGACGTAACTGCATGGTACGACTAATATCGGTCACTGAAAGTTTTAATAAATTGCCTCGTTGCGTAAAATATAAGACGTATTGCTATTCAAAACGGCGGTTTACAAACAATCAGTAAGATAACAAAATGAGCATCACCAGCATCCGTCAACTCGCCCAGGCCAAGCTCTCCGCAGAGTGTTTGTGTGAGGGAATGATCAGGTGACGTTCATATTTTGTGAATAGTCTCACTTTATGAATATTGTGTAAATAGCTCTAGTCAGAGATTTCCTTACGAATCTCTTTCTTCCTTGTAAACAATCATTTTACCCAAGTCGCATTCGACCTCGTTCATGCTCTTGTACCGTCACAGTTTGCAGGCTGATCACAATCTGCTACATATTGTTGGTCATGCAAATCTTTTGCAGTCCCTCGCCATCGGTCTCACATATTCGAAAGACCAGAAAATACAAGAGTTCGATAAGAAGCTGGCAGCTTCGAACATAAAAGCTGATAGGTTGGATATGCACCCTGGACAGGCGTATAAGATTAGTAAGAAACAATATTCTGTCTGAACTCGGCCATATGCTATATTAATGCTAACTTAACTGGCGTAAAGATAATAAAGTAGCTGTCTTCACGAGTAAAAGAGTTCCAGTGTGCTCGACATACGTCCCCATTATCGTGGAGGAGATTGAGGTTGGGGACGAAGAGGACGAAGAGGATGAAGAAATTGATAATTTTACTTTTCCCGACATATCACCCCAAGTACAACCTCAACTTATACGCAGACTTTCCGATCAAACAAGGGCTTGCCACAGTAAAGGGGTTTCAACGACCGCTTCAGTCATCGATAAAATTCTTGCTAGTATTGCTCTCGACCGATATTTTGAAGCAGCAGGGTTCACCTTTAATAAATAACACCACTTGATTATTGCATGAATACAGCTGTAAGTGGTGTATCGGTGATATTCGGATGTGCCAATTACTAACATCTCCTTCTAGGATAGTCCTTTCTCGTCCCTTCAGCTTCATTGTCGACGCAGATAAGGTTCTAATTATGGTCTCTGTGGCCGTGGTTGCAGATAAATGCCCCGCCTTAGATTCGCTCATGCGAGGAGAGATGTCAGAGAGCCTAGCTGGTGAAGCTAAATGGAAGGATACGGGTCAAGGAACCTTTTTGCGGTTTATCGAGTTTGCATACACAGGAGATTACTCGATCCCGCAGAGCAGTATCGTAAAAGCCAGCGATCAGCACCTTGAACAAGATCTACACACAGACATGGTTAAAGAGGATGCTATGCCACAAGAGGTTTTCCCATCTCCTCCCGAACACTGGGTGAATTGGAGAGTATCATCTTCGAAGAAGGACAAGAAGCGAAGAGCAACGGGCGAGGCATAGGAACAGGAAAGGGAATGCAATTAGGAGAATCCAGGATAGATTCGAGTGCTGTGGGTTCAATGCGATCGTGCATGGCCCTTCCCGCGTAGAAAGCCGGAAGATGGGTATAGGGCAGATCAATGTAAAAGTATGTTTGGGCGAGATAGGCCATGTGTAGGGCCGTGGAGGCAAGCGGGGCAGATCAATGATGGGTTGTTCTTCGATCCTACAATCACCCCGCCTAACAATATTGATTGGTGTTCGCTCACTATCGTTTAAAGGTCGTCAAATTAGAAGGGTTACCGCCTCACCAGACCACCATGATACAGAATGAGCGCGCGAAATGGACTCTCATGAAGTGATGAGAGAAGTGCTGCACCAAACGGTTCTAAGTCAAGTCAACAAGTCCCACGATCAGAAGCAGTAACCGAACAGGTAAGAAAACACACAAATTTTCCCTAGCCAGACAGAATTTTGTCATCGACTCATGATTGGTGGCCCATTGGGTGTTAGACATGTCCACAAATCACAAAATAAGAAAAGCTATGCGCGATCTGCGGATGCTACGGGCTCCGCTGTACGTGTGACCTCGCTGCTTGCACGAATGATCATTTGGCTCGCAGAGTCGCTAACAAAAGGAATGTCCTTGTTCTCACGCTGTGCCCCGCTTCTAGATCTCTACCTCACAACCTCCTCGAAGAACACCAACTCTTATTGTCGACAACAGATTATGTGCGGCGTTGGAGTGGTTGTATACACCGCCGTTAAAGATAGCGGTTGTGTCCTTGCTAATACTAGAGGTGATCAAGGCCTTTCCACCTGGGTGGTCCTTAATGAAATCGGAGATATTATGAACAATACTAGCAACTGCAATAAGAGCACGACCGTTCTTGGCTTCGGTTTGGTAATCATCCCAGTTAATAATTGGCAATTGCTTAAGAGGAGTACCCTAGTCGAGAGTCTGCTTCTTCTGATTAAGCTTCTTCTGTATCTGCTGAAGACGGCCCTTCTCGATCTCGTTCTGCTTGAATTGCTTGAGATCATAGGCGAGGCCGAGCTTCTTCTAGATCTAGATAGACTACTTCGTTGGGTTATATTGATACTATTCGATAGAATTGCGGTAATCTAAAGGGAACTCGTGGTGGAAGTTATGGTAACCCTCACCTAAAGTGATAAGAGCGGTGAAGATGTGGTCGCGAGGAGAGTTGCGGTTATCAAATGGCTGGTCACCGAGCTAGTGAGCCAATGAGTTGATATAGAAAGTGGCTTGTTGGACGAAGAAGATTCGTACAATGCTAGCGTAGATGAACCTACCCATCCAGTCTCCCCAACTAAGGCCGGTCACGAGGCAAGGTAATATCATGCCTATGAAGATAACAGTCTTGATGTAGTTGCGATGCTGCCAAACAACGACCGGATTATCGTTCAAGTCGGAGATATCGGTGCGACTAATGCGCTTCGGGTTCTGCTTTATGATTATCCATCCGAAATGCGAGTATAGAAGACCTTTTCGAACGGAGTATGGGTCCTTGTCGGTGTCGGTATATCGGTGATGAGCTCGATGATCTCTTGACTACTATCGAATGGAGCCTTCGACGGCGCTACTACTAACAGTAGCAAGGAAGATCTTTAATGGGAGCCTTGCGGAGTATGATGTGTGTGCCTAAAGTCTATGGTAACCTGTAAGAAATCCTGTCAGTTGTAACCTCAACTTTCACTTTCTTGCAGATATAACGTACTAGCTGTAATTCCAAGACTAGTTATGAAGTAGTAAGAGATAGCCCAGGTAGTAGTCTTCAGCTGGAGAGGTGTCTAGTAAGCTGCGGTGAGTCCGTATATTGGAAGTCCCACGATAAGGGTGATATTGAGCTAATTGACGTGCTTGTACTAGTTTGATCTGCTGAAGGGTTCCTCGGTAATGTGAAGTTTCTTTGGGTTGTATTTCTTGCTGTGGTTTGGCTCAGATCGTTTGACTATGCTTGATGGCGGCTGAGAAGATGCTGGTGCTGGAGATGCCATGGCTATGAGATGACGAAGGGGATGTGTGTGTTGTGAGGAGAGAATAGTGTGCTCGGTGGGATGAGGGGAGTTATAAAAGCTGGTAGTGTCCCAAGGCATTGGAAAAATGGCGGAGGAAAGATATGACTAGGTGTTTTTAATAAGAGAGGGCCTCTGCAATGCTTAGGTGAGAGAGCGGATAAGTGAGCAAGACGTTAGCCTAGCTCTATGCTCTAAAACTTCTAATTGTTGGGTATCGGAATGGCCTCCGACGTGCGTCTTGTAAGACTAAGCTATCAAGATCGAATGTCAATTTTTATAAGGAATTAGATTTGACTAAGGGAGTGAAGGGAAGGGCTTGGAGAGGTGCTTTTAGTTGGCCCTATGGAGTTCTCAATAATTTTTGACACTAGGAAACTAATTGGAGGCGAAGCGACCCCCTTGGGGAGCCTATCAAGTACTTGATCTAGATCCGATTCAGTTCACGAGCGGACCTGTCCTATCACATGGAAAACAGGGGAAAACTGACGCTCATATGGGAGACGAGACAACGAGGCTCGGATTCTGTTGGGAGAGATACGGCTTGGTGCGGTCCCCGTTTAGACATAAGTTAGCACCACCCTACAACGAGCCACTATACGAGACGACATAGGTGATAGAGGTATTGGTCTTCGAGGCTCTGCTGACACAGAGGATTAGTCATTAACCTTAATCGTAGCGGCGCCGCTAGCGACGCCACCTTCGAAATGATAGGAACAACTATCTGGGACTACATCTTCATTCGGTCCTGTATATTCTTCCTTCACTCGATCGCGCCTCTTAGCATTCTCTATTGCCTAATCATCTCTCTCGTCCCTCCCTTGCCCTTCCGTGTCTCTTGGGGACTAGAAGCCTGGGTCATCTGCGAGGCAGCATTCTATCTCCTGGTCTACCTTCCACGCAAATTTTACCTCCAGACTGCCGCGACTCACCCTACGCCCGCCTGTCGCGAACACCGCCGTCTACTCTTCCAGCGCTGCCACGAGAATATTCCCAACCCGGAGCGGTATCTGTCAAAATGGTTTTTGGACGCCCCAGCGTCGGAGATTAAGCGTGACAACGTCAAGGACTTCTTTCGGTGGGCGTTTTTCAATACGGGAGAGCCTGATCCAGTGGACGATGAAGAGCTGGAGGAGTATATTGGAGAGATGGAAAAGTTGCTAGAGAGGAAGCTGGAAGCTGGGAGGGGGAGTGCAAAGTGCTTGAGATTGACCCTTGACAAGGTCGATATGTTACATCGGAGCTTGACGTGGTACCTGGTGAGCTTCTGCAGCAAGATAGGGTCGAATTCATCGTTTTACAGCACGAGCTAGGTTGCTGATCTTTACTCCTTTCTATAGTGCGTGTTTGTTGTAGACACCCTAGCATCTGGCTCTGTTTCGATTCGAACACCATGCCTCGCCCCAGTAACGGTTGTCAGGGAAATTAATATTGTGGATTCCGGGACCTTGGTAGAGGACTTATGTAACGCAGTGGAAGGTGACGAAGACATGTCGACGCTGAAAGTATCGCGAGTAATGACGAAGTCTGTCAGGCAGTTAGCTCATGGGTACGATGACACAACCACGTGGCTCTGATTTCTGGCTAAAGCCTTTTGGGTTAGAACAGTAATCGCATGCCACGGCAAATAAACTATTCCTTGACTTCCAGAGCGAGGTGTAAAGGAGAGCATACTTACAGCTAAGTACCCGTATCAATAAACATGGTCCGCACGCCACAACTAACTCTGCGGAAGTAGAGGATAGCAGGTGTGTGGCAAATAACGCTTAGAGTCAGGCGTTCGGCTTCGCGTTCCATAAGACAACTCCATACGATCTCACCTTGAATGCCCTCCTAGCACATTCACAGCAACGGCTTTGCTATGCCACTAAACTCATCAAACACCTGATTACCTCAACAACCTAAGGGATGCCAACCCGACACGCTTTCCTCTGCCACTTCCATCAAACGATGCCGAGCCTCCATACTCCCAGCCACCTCCTTCTACCTGACGAGCACCACGCTACTCGCACCCCGAAAACCACCTTATATTCGACCGGCAAGCCGAGTACCGAGCGAAGGTGGTATGACAAGATGGTGGGGGAAGGCGATCGGCTAGACAATTGGGATTATATCAACGATACCAGGAGGTGGAGAGATATGGGCTCGAAGTTATGGATACAGACTCTGACGTGTACGAGCATGGTTGAGGTGAAAGTGATATCCTTCTTGGGAGTTACTGCCTTTCCGCTGGTCTATCATTATCAGCGGGTATGTAGTGACGGAGTCCTGCTTTGCTACTTCCTCTTTGAAAACCACACTGACTGAGCATTCTAGTATAGTCAATAACGAAAGTTCTCTCCAACCGCTCGAAGTTACGACTAAGCCACGCGAAATGGGTTTCGACTCCGACTTTGAACCCTCCTCTGAAGCGCACGAAGGCAGACCAGGAGCAGTACGAGCTCTTCCTGCGCGAGGTGCTTGACACATACGGGCCACGGGACGGCGATGACGCAGAGCATGGTAATGGCGGCAGCGTTGTGCGTTTGAACACTGATTCGGAGAAATCCTGTATCGATTTCGAGGTTGGAGAATATCCACACTTACTACGCCGGTGGGAGCACTTCCTGTTGTCTAGATCTAAGGTCAGCGGCAGTTTACTCGCTCAGCCGTCCATCCAAGGAGCGAAGCAGATACATGATGTGTCTAGGACGTCAGTTTGCGAGAATACAGATCTTGAAGATAGCAGCCTCCACAGGATTGAGACGAACCCAAGCACGACCTTGATGGAGGGCTGGGGGCCTAACGAAGTGGACCGAGGGATTATCTGTTTGGGTCACCCGCGCCATCTGGATTGCACACTCTACTTAGATTGCGCACCTAACCTGGATTGTACGGGAGGTGCGGGGTCAGTCCCTTCTGGCCGAGAATCGTTAACGGTTAGTTCTGTCGATCAAAATTACCGAACCGCGTAGCGGCCCTGCAACTGTTTGCGCGCCACAGTAGCCACAAAGCTTATGAGGGTCTCGGACAAAAAAATATAGATCTGATCAGTACCCAGGTCGAGGGGGACCATCTGCCATCCCTCTGTACTGGCGATCCGTTGTAGGCCTGAAGGCTGGAGATAGCGTCCACCCACCCATCCCCGTCATCTCCTCCACCTGCCGGAACTACTGCGTCTGATGATGGCGGCTCGGGACCAACCTCGGCCGCGGCCGCATCTGCGAGCTCATTCCGTGCACGTTTAGCACCTCTGCTATCCTTAGAGCTTCGCTTGCGTTTGGAGCCACGTTGCACGATATCCAGCTGATGCTGGATCGGAGAGGTGACAGTCTCTGCGGAGGATTGCTCATCCTGAGCGTCATCCTGACTATCTGTGTTGTTATTGTGATAAAGTGGAGGCTGATGTCGCGGTTCGCCAGATGCTGAGAATCACCACGGGTCTGCTCATCTCCAGAATCGTCTGCTGCCTCGACGTATGCTTAGGATATAGGATGACCTCCATGACTGGTCTCTTGTGTCACGACTGGCGGGCTTTAGTCGTGGGTGTCGGCAGGGTCGTCTTACATGATATGCCGAGGGGATTGAAGTGTAGCTGGCTCTTCGCCAGGTGTGGAGGTAGGAGTAGGTAAGCTCGGTCGTGGGATGTTTCGAACAGCTGCCACGACTTCGTGATAAGTAGCAGTGTGGCTTTCAATATAGCTGACCAGATAATGCACTACCTATGAGACATTAGAAGATACCATCAAGGAGGATAGATCAGCGAAGTGAACGATTCTTAACCTGGTCCACGTCTGAGTTCAAGTCTAATTTGAGCTCTGAAGTAACATGCGACATCTCTCAACCTGGTTTTGGGGTCGTCGCGGTGTTGCAGATGACGGGCAGTCAATGCCATAGATGTGAAGCGTTAGAGGTGCGAGAGAGTGCGAATGGATTTAAGCGATTCGCACCCTTTCCCCTCCCGTTCCTGCCGAACCGTGGGACAACCCCGGCAACTCCCCGCTCTTCCGCGCACGAAACCAGAAAACTTTTGACAGAAGGCTTCCTAGATCTAGGATTTTTCCTTTGCGGCTCATATATTGAAAGTGAGAGGAAAAGACGACATTCAATTGAAATCTACGTCATATATCTTGAAGCACCATGCAGGTTCTCAATAACATCCAGTCTCACTTCCACTGCCTCAATACAGTCTCACCCTCTTTCACGCCCCCAAACTCCAAACTCTTCACCCAAAGCTCCCTCTGCAGTCCCTTATCATTCGCCTCTGGCACACAGTCTTATACAGCACGCCCCCATCCACATAGAGCGCCTTCGGGAACTCTCCAAACTTCTCACGATCAAAACACACCGCGAGCAGATACCCTCCATTCCTCTCAGGCGTACGGATCATCGGATTTGAGTAGAACATCCATGTGAAGAACGCGAGGACTTTGAGACTTGCGAAGCCGATCTTAGCAACGGATTGAGATGGTGGTGACTCTAGTAATTTCACCGGATTCTCCGACGCGATGGGAATGCTTGGAAGCTTTCAATGTATATGTTTCTTATTGGCGTCCATCTCCGGCCAGAACCCTCAATCCTAATTCCCCCATGTCCCGATAGGATATTGTGCTTGTGGCTAATCATGGCTGTGGCTGACCCATGGCTGCAATCACGTGGTATAAACACTGGAAGATAAAAGTTTCGCTTCCGGAGAGGCGATTTTGGTTGATTAAGCAACCATTTGAGTTACGGCAACCTGCGTATTTTATCACATCCATTGTTAATCGTCGTCCACCAGTTGTGGGAAATGGCCGCTCTATTACAGATTCACGAAAGAACCGAGCCTCCCAGCTTACCTCGAATACAGCAACGCCCCTGGACACCAATTCCACCGAAGCCAACACGGTACATCCGTGAAGATGGAGAAGAACTGGAAATCCTCGAGGCAGAAGCAAGAGTTACATCCCAGGTATGTCATCCTGTATAGATAGGAGCTGAAGGTAACTTGCTATTGCATTTCGGGCCGGTGACGGGTCTTTCGATCATTCAACCAACATCCTTCGTCTTATCAATGAGGACAAGAAACTAACTTTATTCTATCTTTTAACCGGACCTTCTATTGATCTGCAATTTCGACAAACCGATCTTCCACTGAAAAGGCAGACTCATCACCGCAAGGACCACGCCGTTGAAGTCAATCATCGAGCAGACCATGTCTGGCCTCCATTTGGTCACAACGACGACAAATGATGCTCATCCCTCTCAACCCCGAGCGTAACCTAATGCAACGCGCCTGCCTGCAAATGTCAAAACAAGCGAGGCGAAATTCGCGCATTGTTCCCCGCATTCAGGAGGGCCCGCATTCTGCTGCGCACCGTGCATCAGGAGTGCCTTCCCTTTTCGCCAATGAAGATCTGGTCTTTAAGCTTCGTGTGTTCATCCGGGCAGATCTGTATCTTTTATCAGTTATTTATATGCGTGGACTCCTCGGGAAGTTATTCTGCTGCTGAGTTGCTAAGCTAATCGTAGGTTCAGGCTGGGGTTACGTTACATACATACATGTAAATATTGCCGAAATAACGCTGCTTCAGCAACAAAAGCCCCGTTATCAGTGCCAATTCAAGCAAGCGCTGTCGCCATCTAAACCTCTCTTGAAATCACTCTCCCGCACGTCATGAAGCAAGGTGTTATTTCTAGGAACAACGCTGTACCCGCAGCATAGATCCCCTTAGCCAGCTAGACGCGAGGGTTCTGATAGCAATCATGGCAGCTCATAGGGTTCTGTACAACGGCAAAGCATTGGCCAAGCTCACTAATACGGAAAGAGAAGTTTGGATCCGATTTCATTGGAAGTTTGAAGGAGAGCCAAGACTTGCTCATGATTCTCCATGTTCGCTCAGCCACAACGGAAAATCCCTCATACCGTAGAAATATCGCATAGAACAGTCGACCAACCGCACTACTATCGTTGATTCAGTAGCACATCGAAGTCGAATTCGCGCCGCTGTCTACCTTTTGCATCTGCGTATTTTCACAGGTTCAGAAACCTTTTTGCTTGCTGGATATTGGACGAGAAGAGAAGCAAGACGCGATGTGGAAGCCACCCATAAACTTCATTACTTTGCACTGCACGTATCTAATCAAGTCCTTTCGGATCCCTGCTTCACCTACTGATAATATGTCTAGATGCATACATTATCGCCCTCGGAATCGTGGGGTTTATCATCATTTACCCGTATGGTAACATGCCATCGGTCGATGCGTACTTCTTCGGGGTCAGCGCATCCACAGAGTCAGGACTCAACACGTTCGTAACCACCCTATCCATATCCCTTCTGGCGTATCGCTGACCCAACGAATGGCAGCATCGACGTGAAAGCTTTGAAGACTTACCAACAGCTGGTCATCTACTTTATCCCGATCATCGGAAACCTGGGGTTCATTAATATCGTTGTCGTCCTTGTGCGTCTTGTGTGGTTCGAGAAGAGACTTAAGAAGATCAGTGAGCTCGTCTGCGCGAAGAGAAATGAGATGTTGTTGACGATGTAAAGCTTCTGATTTGGTTCTCCCCCGTCGTCGAGATGACCAGATCGCTCCCGAAGAGAAGGATTGTGAGGGCCAGACGAACATCGCAGCAGATAGGCCTACAACAGAAGACGGTGCCAAACTTGATCATAAAAGCGTAGTTGCGAACGGGGCGGTACATACCCCAGGCCACGAGGGAGCCTCTCTCATCTCGAACAGCACTGGTGCTGCAAAACATATTACGTTTGGCCCAGAGTCAGGACGCCATGAAGCAAAAGCTACAAGTAAGCCGTACTCCTATGTTCTGGATGGTAGTAAGAAGTTTCTAAACTGAGATATAATCAGGAGTGTCGACTCAAAATCCCGAAGAGGTCTTCAGCGAAGATGGTAAGTCCTCGAATCCAATCCAAGAGACTACCGATTACTGACCACAATATACAACAGAAGACGAAACAATAAAATCAACAACAGAGCCAAGACCAAGTGGGTTAGTCCAACGCCGAAGAGTAGGCGAACACAGCGGGCAAGCAGGCAGTTCCACAGCTCTCGCCCGCGTCGCCTCCTCCATGTTCGTCGTCGGCGTGCCAGCTCCCCGTCTGGAGGACCGACCCATTCCACAGCCCAACAATTCAGCATCCAATATACCATACCTCTCACGGCAGGCGACGGTAGGCAGGAATTCGCAGTTCCATCAACTGACGAACGAGGACCGGTTGAAGTTGGGTGGCATTGAGTATCGGAGCTTGAGGCTGCTGCTGAAGATTGTGCTTGGTAATTGATCATTTATCAGACTGAGCGATTGGGGAGAGCAAGACTGAAGTTTCTGTTTTAGGGTATTTCTTCGGCTTGCATATTTTTGGTGCGATCTGCCTTGTGGGATGGATTCAATATGCCCCTGCTAAGTACACGGAATATTTGCAGGAAACTGGCCAGAACAAAATCTGGTGGTAAGGACCCCTTGCTTTCCTTTCCGTTATTTCACTTACGAATATGTCGTCGTCCCATCTATCTACTCTCCTTCCTGTTGGAAGTCCAGTAAAAGCCAGCGGAGCCAGCTCGCTAATTCCACCAGGGCATTCTACTCCTCCCAAACAATGATGGACAATCTAGGCTTCACACTCACCCCCGACTCAATGATCACCTTCCAAGACGCCACCTTCCCCATGCTGATCATGACGTTCCTCGCCTACGCCGGCAACACCTTCTACCCGATCTTTCTCCGCCTCGTAATCTGGACCGCATCCAAGCTCGTCCCCAAAACATCCTCGCTTAAAGAACCACTCCAATTCCTGCTGGACCACCCACGACGCTGCTACACACTGCTCTTTCCCAGCCATCCCACATGGATCCTCTTCGGGATACTTTTCGTTATGAATTTCGTTGATGTGCTGCTCATCATAGTCTTGGATTTGCACAATGACGCGGTAGCTAATCTATCGCCTGGACCGAGACTGCTGGCTGCTATTTTCCAGGCTGCGTCTGCGAGACATACTGGTACGTCGACTTTCAACCTCGCGGAAGTAAATCCTGCTGTGCAGTTCAGTCTGCTTGTCATGATGTACATTGCCGTCTTCCCTATTGCGATCAGTGTGCGTGCGTCGAATACGTATGAGGAGAAGAGTCTGGGATTGTATTCTGATGATCGGTTTGATGTGGATGAGCATAATCCGCGATCGTATGTCATGATGCATTTGCGTAATCAGCTGAGTTTCGATTTGTGGTATATCTTCTTTGGGATCTTTTGCATCTGTGTTGCGGAAGCAGACAAGATCACTGATCTCAGTAATCCGGTTCGTATCTCCCAACTCCACCCAACAGTAAATGAGAAAACACACAAGAAGACAGCCTAGAGGCGATAGCTAACGAAATATCAGGCATTCTCCGTATTCCCAATCTTCTTCGAAGTTGTATCTGCCTAGTTGGTTCCCTCGTCCCCTGTCTTCCATAGCTTACTACTAACTCTTCCAAGCGGTAACGTCGGACTCAGTCTCGGGCACCCAACCGTCATGACATCTCTCTGCGGGCAATTCACACCATTCAGTAAACTCATCATCTGCGCCATGATGATCCGCGGCCGTCACCGCGGCCTCCCGTATCAACTGGACCGAGCCATCCTCCTTCCGAACGAGCGCCTTAGCATGTTGGAAGGAGATAGCCGGGATCCAAGTGACAGGGAAGTTGATGTGGGTGCTGAGAAGTTGAAGTTGAAGCGTTATCATACGCAGTAGCTCGGGAGTGGGGGAGTTGGATTACTTCATAGAAGGGTGGCTTGGGTGGTTCCGAAGGCTGGTTGGCAATGCTACAGTACTGGGCTTCTTCATGTGTCTTCGTTGGCGAGAGGTTGGGTGAGGCTGAGCGAGCTATCAGTTCAGTATGATCCCCAGATTCAAGTAAATAAAACAGTAGATGCACCAAGCACCCAGTTTAGCGAACCAATGGATGACAGGAAAAAGACAAAAGTGCTGCAAAACTTACGTGCCCAACCTCCTCCAGACTGGAAACTCTTGCCATGTCCCCGTTGCCATGTTTTCACTTCATAGCCTGTAATGAAACATGTGCAGATATGCAAGTGTTTCCAAGACTGAAGTTCTTCGTGGGTTGCGGTGGTGATTAAAGGACTGATGGTTGCATATTTTGCAGCCGTATGCATGCCAGTTTATCCTGAGACTAGATTCTGTGAACTCTGGACTAGGCAGCATACTCTGGGGAGTTGTCCCGACAAACAAAGCATAAGCGACGTGGAAAGTGGGTCTTGTCACGTGAACCTGGCCAGTCGTGCGATCAACTTGAACATCAGGTACAAGGACAAAGGCATGGCTTGTTATTCTAAGATCTCGCAGAAACTTCAATTTATCCTCTGAATCTTTCTCGGGCTTGAAACGCATGCGGGCAGCCCATTCCAAGTTGATTGAACCATAGAAGTAGAGAACGTCGATCTCAGAGATACTACTTAGAAGACAAATGAAGACAACATTTTTTGTAGTACAAAATACATGCGTCCTAATACCAATTACCATTCCTCCATGTCATTCAGAGCCTTTGGTTGTCATACATGTATGTCATGATGTAGATAGACATTGGAACTTGCCCACAATCCTGGCAATTGTCTATCGCGTGATTGTGTCTGCACCTCTCATCTGCCATACTCAAAATTCGAGGCATTAGTTGCAATCATGTTAATTAGTTCATCAGACAAATTGGGATACGTCGACACTAAAGTATGACCAATTCGGCCAAAAGGTGGTCCCTTGTACGGCAAGATATCGTACGAGTGTGGCCCTGACCAATGGTGATGAAACATTTTTGGGTACCCATCAAGGTACTCACTTGTTCTAACCATCAAGGTGTTCACTTATCTTTCCCCGCCAAACCCCCCAGCATTGCCGTTAATTCCCACGGCCATCTCAGATGGCTCTGCTTCCTTCATCTTCTCCAGTCTTCAACACTGTCGTTCAAACATCAAGCAGAAGCAGAAGGAGAACAGATACACATCTGCATCCTTCACACTCTTGGGACCATTTGTCTAGTTCAACCTTCCTTTGGTACATCAATCGAGCAATCTCTACCTGATCTTCTTGTAAGTTGGAAGCGATAACAACCCAAGAGGATGATGATGTCGTGTTCATCATAGTTGGTCTCAGATAACTAATATTGTCTTGCAGCGATTCCCTCAAAACCACGGCATCTGCGGTTTATATCTGGCAGGAAGAGATGGGGCTAAGTGAGGAAGCCGGTCTTCTAGTCGTGCGCGAGGTCGCGAACCAGAACAGTATTGTTCCTCTTCTTGTACGCGAGGACTCTGCAGCAACCTGTGGCACAGGCAATGATTACGATGGACGTATGGGAGTGCGAATATCTGCAATATTTGTCATCCTTATCGGCTCATGTTTCGGTGCAATTTTTCCTATTTTCGCCAACCACAACACTAGGTTTCGAATGCCAAGATCGATATTTTTTGTCGCCAAGTTCTTCGGATCCGGTGTTATCATTGCCACTGCTTTCATACACCTATTATCACCCGCTGAAGATGCGCTGAGGGATCCCTGCCTTACAGGCTCGATCACGGACTACGATTGGGTTTCAGGCATTGCCCTCATGACAATATTCGTTATGGCCTTCGTCGAATTGATGGCTATGCGCTCTGGAATGTTCGTGCATCAACAGCATGAATCCGGAGACGCCCCCAGCTGCTCAGGTGCCCCCGATGAGAGGGCTGTAAAGCGCCAACGCGAAGACCGCATCCTGCTGCTGATACGCGGCCACGAGAATGGCAATGGAGACTGTAGTCCAGCATTTCAATAGTGGAGCGCTGAGCTACGAAGAACTTACCGGCGGCTGCACAAGAGAACTCGCTCGATATATTGTCCAACTTTCTCCCGAGGTGGCACCAGAGTCAACCATCCTGGACAACGCTTGTGGGCCAGCGATTGTCTCTGAGGAGATTCTACGCACGATTCCCAGAGACGCAGGCCAGCCTGCCATCTATGCTGTTGATGCGGCCCCTGCCATGATCGAGCTGGCACGCTCCAAGCCAGATCTCACAGTACATGAATCAGTTCGACTTGAGACTATGCACTCAGAGAATCTCTCATTCTCCACGGACACTTTTACCCACTCTTACACCAACCTCGGCATCCTCTTCTTTACTGACGGGGTGCAAGGTGCAAGGGAGATTTACCGCACCCTTAAACCTGGAGGCACCGCAATCGTGACCACTTGGGCCGACCTTGGCTATCTTCCTATTGTTCGGAAAGCGCAAGCTGCCATCCGCCCCGACGAACCCCCCTACGCGGTTTCCATTAGTGAGTCCTGGTTTTCTGGTGATCATCTTGAGCGAGTCCTACGAGATGGAGGGTTTACGAGGATAGACATCCTGGAGAAGAAAGTGCACATGTGTGCCCCTAGCCTCACCGGAGTGATTAATATTTTGTACAAGGCATTCTATTCTGTATGTGAGGATTGGAGTGGAGAGGAGCAGGTACGTTTCAAAAGCCAGTTGTTGCACTTTGCGCAGCCAACAGCGAGGACTTTGCATCGGCGGGAGGGAGCATCAAGCGGGGGTGAACAAGTCGGCATACCTATGACAGCTATTGTCGCCATCGCTAGGAAATAAAAGATACACATTCACCGGAGCCAACGAAACCCCCAGCTTCGAATTCTCGGGCGGAGGGGAAGGAAGAGGCACAAACCTCGACGAAATCGCGTGGCTTGTCGCAAACTTGAAAGAGACCATCACCCAACAAAGCCAGGTCATAGAAACCCTTAGAAAGGAACAAGCGGTATTCAAAGCAGGCCAGGAGCATCTTAAAACCCCAAAATGCAGCGTTACAAGCAGAGATTGGAGAGAACTCAAGGAGGATGCACGCCGTGGAACCCCTTCATATGCGAACGCTGCCCGTACACCGCAAGTCAGCCTTCCAACGAACATGTCAACCACTTCGTCCTTCAACACAACACCGGCTACCTCTATCAACACGCTTCACTGCACGGTCGACATCTCGAGAGCGGGAAGAGAAGGTGATAGGACGTCGGCAGGCATGGTTAGAGCGGCAGTCGAGAAAGAGATCTGAATAATGGACGAATATGGAAGTTGGCGATGCCGCGCAGTGACCGTTGACCCGAAGAATACAAACTGGATTAAAATCGCCTGCCGAAATGAGGCCGAACACAAGCTGGTTAAGAGGGTTGCAGAAACGAACATTGGAGCTGGCGTACGGGTGCTGCGCGACGAGCTCTATCCGATCAAGGTTGATAACGTCAAGCGAACAGCGGTGCTGGATGAAAATAACGAAATCAGAGCAGGAGCGGCGGAGACCTTGAGCGAGGAGAATGAAACAACAGTCGCCAAGATCTCATGGCTGAGCAAGAAGGACGTTCCCAAGGCCTAGGGATCAATGTGTTCAGGCTCGCCGAATCCATCTGGTCTGGCAGATTCGGCACAAAGGTAAGCCTCTAGATGCGGCATTCGTATAACTACTAACAAGGCCAGCCGATGCGGCGGTAGCCCAGTCACTTTTGAATGATGCCTTGGAGGATGACAAGTTAGATGATGGTTGTGTAAGTCTCTGGACCCTCACTGATGGCCGATCGTCTGGCTGATATTCAGATTCTCTCCATGTTGATCTATTTAGAGTCCAATGATATTCCCATATTCCCGTTCGGCAAACGTGCGACGATCTATCCAGGCGTGGCGCTACTGTCGGGGATGAATTTATTACGCCTAGAATTGATGCTGATTGGGACTAGTCTTTGATTATATATTTCACATCCTTCCGCTATGATGTTCTACCACAATATTTATCACTACTGCGAGAGCGCCGCCCAACGTCGCCTGGAAAGTGCAATCCACCTGTCTCCTATTGTTACCTACTTCTTAAAGTTTGCATTTTTGTAGTTTAAACGAGTGCCAATATTTTGGCAAAGCGGTCAGCGAAATCAAAAAAGCTAGTAAGTACCCACAGCCAAGAAATAAGCAGCTCATCAAGGCAAAGGCCAAGCAACCTCACCTATATCACCATTCAATCATGCCTCATCACAGTGGGTGTTCTTGGTTGAGGTGTCTTGGTGTCTCTTGGTGCCTTGGCTTGAGATACCTTGATGGTTAGTGCTGAGACGCGAGGAAATCTTCATGCATCATTTAGCAATAAAGATGCGCGATGTGTGATTGGTATGCCGGGTAAGTATTGTTCACTATATCAGGTGGCTATATATTGGAGGCAGGTATGCGTCGAAGACCTGCATCTCCTCTCTGTCTCAACCATCTTGTCCCTACTCACCGTACCTGATTGCCAAACGTCGGTCGTTCAGTTGCCCAAAATGAAGGGCCCAATCACGTTCACTTTTGTCGCCGCATCTGCTTTCGTCACCCACGTCGCCCTTGCACAAGTGGATCCAGGACCGTCACCAACCAATTCATATGATTGTGAGCCTCATGGCGACCACTGGTTTGTCCACCCTTTCCAATATAATACTACCTCCATATCCAATGACCTGACTCGTACATGATCAGGCACTGTGAAGGTCCCATCACTCCGTCAGCCACACTCCCAGCGTCTGTAACCACGCCCTCAGTCGCAGTCATCACGACCACCTCCCATGCTGGAAATGGCCACTCTGCTGACACAGGAACACTGGCACCATCCCCAACCGAGTCTGTAGGCTGTGAGCCGCATGGCGACCACTGGCACTGCGATGCACCAGCCGCCACCGTCACCACTACTGGAACTGGTGCTGAGAGTGTCACAATAGCTCTAAGCCCAACTGAGTCTGTTGGCTGCGAACAGCATGGTGACCACTGGCATTGTGAGGCCCCCGCAGTCACGTCTGGCTCATCAGTTGGGACTATCACCAGCGTCGCTGCGAACCGCACCGTCACTCCTTCCTCGACCCAAGCCACTTTCATCCCGTCTAACGGTGCCACCTTACATGGTGCTGGGTATGGCTTCTTTGCTGCACTTTTCATTCTGGCTGTTTCCATGTCCCTATAAGTGTGCGAAGGGAGGAGGGATGTAGGTAAGTTTGGTTTGTGGTTGTAGTTGGGGTGGTGATTTGTGGTCGTGAGGATGATATTTCGTGGTGTGGTTCAAGGTAACGTGGCGGGATTGATTGTGAGACGCGACGTTGTTGAGGTTACAGTGGGGGAAGGCAGTTCGCTTAGGCGAGATGTGAGCCCCCGAGAATCGGGCCAGAAACATCAACATCAAAACATTAGAATAAGCACAATACAATGTCATCAACTTGAACACCCATACCAATTTCCTGACCCTAATACTAGGTGCACATCCCACTTATTAAGATTTTTTTTGTTGCAAATGATATAGCTTTATTTAAGAGGTAGAGAGCGACTACTACAAATTTCCACAGGGAAATAAATTCAACAAAACTTATGTTTAGGCCCATCACAACACGCCATTGTAACCAAAGGATCTCGTGCAAATTCTTCCCTGCTACAAACCGGAGTCAGCTGAGAACCTTGGGCTAATGCGAGTAGAGAGACAGGGTGCAGAAAGACAAACCATACTGGAGCACCGCAATGCTGTCCACGATGGAGCAGGACGCTACACATCTAATGGTCACTATCGCAGTGCCACGCAAACCCAGTTCCGACTATCAGGTCACAGGACTCAGGCTGACCTGAATCGAGATGCTGGTGACAAGCAGATAGTCCCGGATTGCTTGCACAGCAGTACTCGCATGGCTCGCCGGTTGAGTCGCAACCAGATGGCTCGACGCAGACCATTGAACTGCGAGAGAAAGGCAAGAGGTTGGGTAGCGCAGAGACGGTGGCTAGCAGGGTCGCGGCTTGGATGAGGAGGCTGAGCTTGACCATCGTTGCGGTATGTTGAAGGAAAGCGTCTACTGGGTTGTGGAAGTCTGGACTGTCTGGATGATGGGGTGATGGGGTGATGAACCCTTTGGGTTTGGATGACGAGGTGCGCTTTATACACGGTCCTACCTCTACAGTACCTTGATGACTCTCTATCTTGCACGGAGAGCGCAGCCCCTGACCAAAGCCAATATTGCCGTTGCTGGCAATTTGCAGATCAATTTGACCCCGCCATCAAGGTGGTCGGTCCTTTGAGCCTATTATCGGTTTCGCAGGGTAGCTTTCAATTCAAGTTCGTTCGGAGAACTTCCTTGAAAAGAATCTCATGCTCACATCTAACATATCCTTGGCTCTCCGAAGAGGAGGATAAAGTGGGGGATGTCAGCAGTAGCAGCAGGATGTACCGCCAGGGCCAACTTCTGGACTTCGTCATAATAATATCTCCCCTGAGTTGCCATGCTGAGCAGTCTGAGTGATACGGTACAACCACTGAATGTCTGAAAACGATTGGGAAATCAACCGAGCAGACTCCTGGTCCAAGTATTTACTGTACTTACAATTTTCTAGTTAGACTCAGCCATCGAGGTCGAGAAGCAGGAACCTCGAAGAGTCGAAGCATCTCTGGAGCTGGAAAGACGGGGTAGTGAGTGATTTTGGAATGGTTCTCCGTTTTTCTGCCGTGAAAAAGATGAAGGCTGACTGAGTTGGTAGGAGGTGGTATTGGAGAGTAAAAGCAAACCTTCGACCTGCTGCAATGAGAAGGGATCCTCACTGCTATTGGGAACGGGGGTCACATTAGTTTACTTGGCACGATTCCTTTTGAGTCTTTTGTTTGTCTTGGGGGCGTGGGGTGCACCCTCCTTTGTGATGAATTGAGAAATATATACACATGGCTGTGGACATCAAGGTACTCTCGGCTCGCCAAAACCCATCCATGGCAGCAAAGGTAAAAAGCCAGTCTGCACAAGATCAATATTCTTCCTGCACATGATTTGAATTGAATTGAATACGTAATGCTTATCATGGAGTTAAGTCGCCTCCCAAGAACGTCATGCGAGTCTCTAGATGAACTAGAAATGCCTCCCTCTGATCGTACCTGTGCCATGGCAGCGAAACTCACGATCACTGTACGGCACCTTGACGGCCTCCCAAACTTGGCTCTAATGCAGTGAGAAATTTCGATATCACCAACGGCCAAGACGGGATCACATTTGGTGCAGATTCAAAATCTGTCAAAAGAGGGAATTTCAAGCGGAGTGTAGCTATGGAGCACGGAACTAGTTTGGATAAAGAGGCCTCGTTTATCCTCAACCTGCGTCCTGCTTGCTGACACTCGAAAGCTAGCTAGCAGTTCTCGTCGTTAAGGTGTATCATCCTGCAGCAATTATGTTCTCTAGATCACTCGTTCCGATTCTGCTTGCATTTGTACCTGTTATTACAGGTACAGCAATCGCCTATCCCCGTGCTGCTGTGGACTTCATCGAGGCTTCAGAGGAGAATTTTGAGAACAAGATCTTGATCTTTCGTCAAGAGCCTACGGCCCCTACGAGCAGTGCTGCCCCGGTCTTCACGTTCGGTTGCAGCGTGCTCAGGACCTATACTGGCATCCAGTCAACCATTACCAACTATCCTGCTTTCTACTCTTCCATCGCTCATATTATCTCATCGGTTCCGGGGGTATCAGCAATTCCCGTCTACACAACTACGAGGTCTTGGTAAGTTGTCAGACAATCAATCAACTTAGAGAGCTACGACTAATTCTGAGTAGGGGAGAACAATATGCTTTCCTTGGGAGGAATATCCTTGAGGCTTACGGCATTACAGAGTTCACCACTGTGACTACTTATGCTCCTACGGCTTGTCCCCCTTCTGTTACAACCACGGCAACTGGAACATGTGAGCCACATGATGACCACTGGCATTGTCCTCCTGGTGTGCCTCAACCAACAACGCCACCACCACCGATAACAAGTTCAACAACGCCTCCTGCTTCAACACCAACTTCAAGTACGACGATTGCGGGCGAATGTGAACCGCACGAAGACCATTGGCATTGTCCTCCTGGCGTACCTCAACCAACAACACCCCCTCCAAGCTTGACGAAAGCAAGTTCAACGCGTCCTGCTTTAACGTCAATTACAAGTACAACTATAGTAGGTGAATGTGAACCCCATGACGACCACTGGCACTGTCCTCCTGGTGTTCCACAGCCAACTGCACCACCTCCAACTTCGACGCCCACTTCAACCACAATCCCATCTGGCGTTCCTGAGCCGACAACTCCCCCTGCTAGCTCTACATCAACCACAGCTCAAGCTGGCGAGTGTGAACCACACGGCGACCATTGGCACTGCCCTCCCGGTGTCTCGGAGCCCACAACCCCTCCAAGCACAGCTCCTTCGGGAGCCTCATCAACTTCTGCCTTTCCCACCGAGTGTGAGCCACATGGAGATCATTGGCATTGTCCGGATGGTGTTCCAGAACCTACAGCTCCTCCTGGTTCGATTCCTTCCGAAGTACAAGCAAGTCCTACCACGGCCTCAGTTGGCGAGTGCGTACCACATGGTGATCACTGGCACTGCCCAGAGGGAGTAGCAGAGCCTACTACTCCTCCCGGACCAGGAAGCTCTACCGCGGCTCCAGGCGGCGAGTGCGAGCCCCATGGAGACCATTGGCATTGTCCCGAGGGTGTCCCAGAACCCACAACTCCTCCTGGTTCAATTCCTTCCGAAGGAATAGCAAGACCTACTACAGTTCCAGGCGACGAATGTGCACCGCATGGAGACCACTGGCATTGTCCTGAAGGGATCGCAGAGCCTAGTTCGGTTGGTTTTGTTACGAGCGCAACTTCGTCCTCCGGCTCTACTCCCTCTACAGCTGACGAAACACTTCCAACTTCGACAGCGGTAGAGACCCCAATTCAATTTGAGGGTGCATCTAGCTCGGATCGCTCGATGTTAGCTTCACACTGGATAGGTGCCATTGTTGGATTAGCTGTATTGGTTGCGAGCTTCCTGTAGGCGTGCGTTGATCCTTTTCGCCACTATGCGGAACACCTGGACCTCTGCCCTTCGATGGATAAGGCCCAGCATGCGCGCCAGGTCTGAATGATTGCTGAGAGGGTACAAGTAGTTTTGCAGCGGGGTTTGCTGCCTGTTCGTGTGTAACCTTGGTGCAGTGTGCGGCTAGATTTCAATAAAAAATTCATAAGACCCAATGAAATCACCATGGAATTCCTTAAAGTTTCATGTTTGTCTTGTCGTCTTCCTCTTCTCAGGCGGCTCGCCAGGTACGGTCTGGCGGAGCAAAGAGTGGCAAGTCAAGATCGCCTGAGAATTCAATGTCTTTGGAGGGTCTCGTTGTCACGTCAAGCCACCTGGAAAGGATGTGGGAGTACAAGACCGACAGTGACCGTGTCAGGCGATCGTGAGTGGTGAAGTGACTGGAGCCACGGTGGCGCGCCGCGTCGGCTGCTGCTCATGACGGGCAGCCAGTTGGGTGGATCAACCGGCCCCTCCCCGCAGCATCGCCATTCGTGCCCACCTAAGGCCCTGAGGACAACACTAAGCGGGCTGACATGGCCAGACAGGAAACCGTACAAGCAACCTTACACCTCTCCTTATTCCACCACCAACTTTACACACAGCTTACCAGATCAATTCAACCTACAAGTCCCAGACAACTCCGTATTCTATCATCATGACGGATGCCAAGGCGAAAGAATCCAAGCCAACTGCAAAATCATTTGGGGCGATGGGGACTACGACCTCGACCTTGAGACCGACGATTGGGTGACATATGCATGCGTTGTTAAGAGGGACTATGGGACAAGCTTCGGACCACCATTGACAATGACTGGACTATGTAACTCGGCAGAGCAAGCTTGGAGAGAGCTGGATAGAATGTTAGGTATATGGGCTAGGCAGATACAGAGCGGACAGCCGATGACAAAGGCTCAGTCATTGGAGATATTCGGGGGACCGAATGGGCGTAATAAGTTTATTCTGGGGAAATTTCTCGATGAGGTTGAGAAAAGAGGAATGGATTTGTGAAAAGGCTCAAGGGATTGATTTCATCACTGTGCAATCTCTCCTCAAAAGATATTCGAGAAAGATCAGAATAGCATTACTCTAGCTCTGCCTCGAGCTGGCCTTGAAACTTTATTCCTCACAGCTTTCTTCATTGCGAATGAGGACGAGAAACTTTATTCGATCTTTTTAACCAGACTCCTGTTGATACGTTTTCGAGGACATTGGCTGGCATCCTGTCTACCAGTCTGCCCCCCTCCTGGCCCAGCTCGTCAATCGCTTCATCCGTGCCAGGCATTCCGACGGTAGCTGCAGGTAGGAGTGGCTTCTCGCTCTAGGAGGTATTAGCAGGGTCTAACTTGGATAAGAGAAGAATGGCCTGAGCTTAGCTGAACTCGTTTTGTGACGTGCATGTTGGGCGCGGCAGTTGAGCAGAGATCGAAGGATGTGGTTGATGCCGACTCTACCCCACCACCACTGCCTTGGCATTGTTGCGCCCACATCACGTGATCTGGCGTTGAGCCGCGGGCTGCGCCGCCACTCCGAGAATGAGTCGGCCGGTGTACCGCTAACAACCACGAGCTAAATGGCTTCTTTCGTATCAACATCCTCATCCTCATTCACCACCATCATGTCTCAAACCCAGCCTGCATATGTTACGGAGGAGATATACCAATCCCACCGCGCAAGACAGGACACCGACATCCGCGGAGAGTTCGGACGGCAGGCATCCCTCATCGAGAAGGGCAACAGGCAGCTTCGAAATGATCTCACTACCACATTCAGCGACAAATTGTCGAACGTCAACGGCACTCTAAGCGGCAGAATCGGGGAATTGAGCGATGAAGTACAACTGCTAAAGGAGGAGGTCCACCAGGTGAAGGACAGGCTCGATCATATCGAGGGCGATGTGGGCGAGGTGAAGTCTAGTCTTCTAGACTTTGGAGTCCGCCTCGAGCGTATGGAGAAAGTCAGGATGAATGGGACGAAGTCTCGTCTTTACGACAAGATTGAAATGTTTGGAAAGATTGTTCCTGGTGTAGGCTACCAAATGCCCCGATATGTCCCTAAGAATGCGGGCGAGTTCTGGAAGCTGAAACGCGACGTGAATGCAGCCAGTAGTAAGTATTACTTCACGAGAAACATGTTTCCAAGCTAATCCAAGAAAAACAGTCCGCCGGCTGATCTACCTGGTTGAATTCTACAACATTGACGACTACCAACATTGGCACAGGACCCAGTTCGAGGATGGTATGACAAGTGATCCTGATGATATGCAATCGGATGACGAGCAGTCGAGTTCGGACTCGGCGTCATCTGATTTATCTCTCGAAGAAGCAGTCCAAAGATATCCTACCCAAGCGGTCGAAAAGGTTGCCACAGTGCTTGGCTTGGTTGAAGAAAACTTCGAACGTGCTCTAAAGTATCAACAACTACCTCGAAGAATCGAGAAGCGACTACAATCGGGAGGAGACCAACCTATGGAAGAGGCAAAGCGACAGAGATTGCCATTGCGACCCTCCCCTCAAGCTCCAAAACCAACCCTCACTCTTTCTCAACTCATGCCGGACTCGAAATCCGATTCACTTGAATTCGACGAAACACCACTCGAGTATGATGATTCCTCGTCAGCCGTCAGAGCACGAGCCAAGATGATAAGGAAATTACAAAGTGGACCACAATCAAGAACCCCTTCTGTAAAGTATTCAGATGGTAGTCCAACAGAGCCAAATGAGTCATTGAAGTTGGAAGGCTGATAGGCATTAATTGATGGGGAAATTTTTTGAGCAGGCAACGCGGCGTGCCTTGAGTCGGAGATGGGGCTGGCATTTGTGTCGAGAAAGGTGTTAGTAGTGGAGGAGATTTGCCAGTGTCTTCGGCATTTAGCGGCGTCTGGAGTATTTCTAAGTCTTCTTACTTTGACCGAAAATACCGACATCTGTGTTTATGTTCTCCATCGCCGTGACCAAATCTGCCAAGTGAAATGTTAGTTGCAGTTGGAGTCAAAGGGTTGATAGGAATAGTGTCTATATATTATTACTTTCCCAGCCACCACCTCCTGGGTTGGTCATCATGCCAACAATGTAAGGCAGAACCTAGCCTGACGATCACGATCTCCCAGCCCAAAAGCTGGGTGACTGGCAGGTCGTTCTCCACAGTTATAATGAAGGCCGGCGATCGAGGCTCAGAAATTTTGGGGTCACTCGAGGAAACAAAGTGGTTGTGGTTGATTGCAAATAGCACTCCGGCAAAGGGAAAGACGACCGCTCACTCTGGGCTATTTAAAACACCCTCTGAGGTCAGTACTTTATATTTCAAATCTGGGATAGTACTAAATATCGAAGGCTTTATAGGCTATCCATACTTTCACGCATCTGCGAACTTCCCGCACTCTCTTGCTGAAGGGAACGGCGAGTACACCTGCAGTTCTCCACAAGGCCGATTAATTCAGAACTAGGGTTGCTGAAGGTATTGAGGATGGTTCGCAAGCTGCCCCACCGAATTAGCGTCAGAATAAGCTATTTTAGCCTAACCTCCCTACGCTGCAGAGGGTGAGTCGGCCATAAATGGAAATCTCACGTTGGCACCGCGATAAGTTTTGTTAGGTAGGAAGGAGAGGAATTCGAGCATATAGATATTTTTATTCCACCTGAACAGACTTCCAACATGAAACCATCATTCTCTTACCAGCCACAGTTACGTGATGGCATCAACTGTCCTTGGGGTCTCGCTAGTTGGCCTTCAACGCTTTGCTTTCTTCACACGTCTCCCTCTCAGCTTCGCTTCATCATATGGGAATTTACTCTCTCCCCCCGTATCGTGGAGCTCTCTTTTTCTTTTTTCTTTTTTAGAACGGCGCTTCCTGATGTCTTCCGGTATAAAATTCTTCGGGAGTGGATAGGTGGTTTGCTAATGTGTATTAGCACTGTCGTGTAGCTTAAGCAAGCCATCGCTCTACTTACTATCTCTGCGAAAGACGGCTGCTGTGACGCATAACCCCTGGACAAAAAGGTCGTATACTGGCCACGCTTGCAGATGAGCATTGCTACTTCGATGCCATCAAATTCTCCCAATTCAAAAGCCTTATTGACTAATGTTTCTTCCCTTCTGTTGATCCCTTCCTTTTCTCTTTTTCTTCTTCTTCTCCCCTGGTCGTTGAGTTTGACGTCCGTAGTACCCATAGGAGTCCAGTCGTTCTGATAAATGTCGAATAACACGTCCGATCAACTTCGATTCCGTTTGAGCATGGACCTAGTGATAATTCAGAACCAAGAGTTGCTCTCGGTCGTGAATTTCTAGAAGTCGTCAGCTCTGAAGGTTGTCACATGGAGGAGCCTGAACCGGCCACTTCAGACGGAGCCACATTTGAATCCACCAACCCAGTCGAACGTTATCATCTGGGAGTAAAGCCCTCAATGACTACTTTGGTACTCGGGGTAACAGTTCAGCCAAGCCTTCTAGATATTTCTGTCGGACATGGGCAGTTGGACCAATAAGAGATCTAGATTTCGAGAAGCGCTACCCTTTCAGGAAAGGTGACAATGTGGAGACTTTGGAACTGATACCCCAAGGACGAAGTATATGGCCGAGATAACCTGCCATACCCACTTTTTGCCCTATCGTCAGAATGCTGTTGTGTTTGCTTATTGGCCAATAAGCATAAAGTGTTTGACCCCTGCCTTCGCAGGTTAGTTTGGCCATGTACGAAGTACAAGCTGTACATCTCTTCATCTTCAAAACTGCTGTGGAACTTTGCCCTTGTTGACTTGTGCTTTACACTATCGTTCTCCAATCTACACCAAAGGTTCATCCAAAGCAATTCAGGTTGTGCAACTGTTCCGCAGAAGAGACGACGAAAGTGTACATGACTGGAAATCTCCAGCCATTTCCATCTTGCAAACGCGAGGAATACTTCTTTTCTTTTGATCCTCACACTACGTCTTTGTATCACAAGTCACACAATCGATGAACGGAAACCCGAAGACAGTACTGGAGACCTGCGCCCGTTGCAAGCGCAGGGAAAGCACAAGTGGGCTAAGCTCTCCGGCTGTACGGGATCAAGGCCCTCAAAGCATACGCCTTGCGAGATCCTCCAGAATTACCACGAGGGAAGCAGATCATCCTACTATTATGGGTCAGAAGCGGCAGTGCTAATAAAGATTTTCCAAGGTGCCAACATTTCATGCGACTCCGCCTACCGAGATTGAACGACACAGTCTGAAGGGCTTGAAGCTAGGGGATCTGGCAGCAAGCGAAGACGCCCTGAGACGGATATGATGGGCGTTTGATATCGTTAGGAGGTTGGCTTTGTTTGTTGCGGAGCAGATATATTGCAGAAGATCGGTGATTCTGCTACAACTGAGATACAGAATATCGATCAACTCCTTCGGCTGTGACGGAATTTGAGGTTGGCTGTGGAGGAGAAGTTGCAGACATGTCAAGACCAGTGAGCTCGACTTAGCGCCAACCGGGCCAGAGGCGTCGTAGTAACTCCGCAGATCTCCAAACTCCAGAAATGAGGTATTTGGGCCTTTTTGAATCGATATAGAATCTGCGGCGCGAATCTGGAATGGTGGTGGAGGTTGACAATTGTACTTTAGCCGCCTCAGACCATCCACTCCATCGCCATCGTGCTTACTTGGAATTTGTGTGTATATCGGGCTAGCTTCAGCTCACCCGCCTCAAACATGTCCGATAGCCGCCAAGGAATCATTTCAGCTCCGGCGGTCTCTGCTTGGCAAGACTCCGGTTCAGGCTCGGGACAATATGGCACATCTGCTGGTGGAGGTGCCTCGGGTGGGCCCGGTTCCTCCAAGTCATCTCGTGATGACGTTCGAGTATCAAAAGTACGTCGCCTTCTGGGACAAATACATGTAGCTCCGCCATCCCTGGCCACGTTCGATGCCAACGTGCATCCGTGTCCTCGTGGCAGAAACCCGGGGTATGTTTATTTCGTACTTCCTATTGCAATTGCTCAGCCTCGTAAACATCATGCAGGTGAGCTCAGCCCGAAGCTAAGCCACAGTTATAGGCAAGACCTGCCTTAATCGCACCCAACCCCTATCTTGTATGAATTTAACCCGACAAGATCCTTTCTCACAAACCTTCACTTCCTACAAGCTGAATTCAAAAACCCCTTCTACTGCTCAATTCGAAATCCGTATATACAGTCTCCCCTCTCATCATGCGACAAGCACGTGGCACAATGGACACGCCAATCGCCGCTGGCGAATTGTCCTGGCAAAGCGTCTACTGGTCCCTCTTCAGTCTCGCTCTCAACACAATGGCCCAACCATGCGGAAGCGTGTGCGGCTTTCGACCTTCACTGAGCATATATTTAAAGAGCTCGCCGGTTGTTTGTATCTTCGACACCGTCGCTCTTCTCACTCGATTCATCATGTACGCATTTCGAAGTCGATCACTTAGTCGCGCTGCTCGACTCGTTCGGAAGGCACGGAGATACGGCCCTGAGAATATCCTCGAAGAGCACAAGGGTTTCGAATGCCCTTTAATCTTCCGCTTTGGTGTTTTTGTTGTCGGTATTATCTATTCGTTTAGCAAGCTATTAGTATCGTCTGGAATCCCGTGGTCGAAGACATGGGCCTGTTGTTATTTTGTATCTTTCCTCACCTGGTTCTTACTGGGCCTCCTAGCGAATTCCCCTACAGAGGATCCAACCTTGCCTGGAAGCGACCAGCTAGACGACGTCCTCCATCGACTGGATAAGTGCTTAGGCTATATCGCCGTCTTTCTACAGTATATTATTCTGGCATTCGTTGATCCTGCCGCATACGAACCAGATCCGGACCTTGTCGAGCGGTACAAATATCATGGATTTCGGTTGGGAGGACATGTAGTCGCCTTTTTCGTTCATTTCATTTGCGCGTCGAGTGAAAGGCAGAGGCTTAAACTTTCAATCGGCTCACAGAAGATAATCATCCACGTACTAGCTTTACTTATTTTCTGTGCCCTCACCACTCTACACCGGTTCGCTCTTATGTACACACTGTACTGCTTTCTTTACTCTATCATTATCGCCATTGTCTCTTGGCTCCTGTTTCAGATTTCGGCAACCCGAAAGCTTGTCTGCCTTTCTGGCGTGGAGGACTATAAGAATGTTCTCGCATTTGACTTCTTTTGGCGAGTGTTCTGCCTTTCGCTGTACTGGTATCTCATGTGCTATCGTTATTCTGGAACTTCCAAGCCAGCCTGGGCAGAGTTTTTTGGATGAGTGGACCTCCACAAAGAACGACTTCACAATGAAGCAGTGATTAAGCAGCGCCGTGAAGACGAGAGGAAGAAATAAGACAAGACGAAGACAAAGCCCAACGACGGGATTATGTCGTCCTCGAGTGGTCACCCTTTTCCCACGGGTCATGGCTCGAAACCAAGAAAAAAAAGCTGCCTGGCAGCTGGCCACAGCTGGAGCCGATAGTTATTCACCATGGGATAGGACTTCCAGAGTGGTCACTATTGGTAGTGCGTGGCAAACATGACCAAGAGGAGAGAGCAGAAAAACTCAACAAAGCAATCGAGAATATGAAGCAGTTGCATAGAACTAGGCGTGTTTCGGGACACGGTAGGAACGAATCAATAGGAAGTTTGGCATCAGGACCACCAAGCCCGACTGCGCAATGGAGACGAGAGGCGCTATGAATGAAGGAACTAAGTGTGTGAACAGGTTCTTCCGACATCTGAGATGGCTCCTCCGAGGAGGGTCACCGAGTTCGGATGAGTTGCGATCACTGGAGAACTGAAACAGCTCCTCGAAGGGGTGATCTGACAAGTCGTGGGATGGGATTTCGCGAGGCCTTCTCGTTTAGCCAACATCCTATTCCTTTTTGGCAATGTCAAAAATCTCACGCTTGTACTGGGCCATTTCGATCAGGAGGGCGATGATTAAGAGCAAGGACTGCATTCTTGGCCGAGTGTCCTCGGTAAGGAGTGCTGACAGACAGAACGTGGATATTACATTCAGATCCAAACACGCAGCTTGGTGCTTAGGCGACGAGATGAAGTGGACTCTTCAAGCGTCGGTGAAAAAGCGCTGGTCGGCGAAGAGGCCCTCTGATACAGAACAGGCACTACGTCTTGTCGCAGACAAGGAGAAAGACAGGAGCCATGGGTCCGACCTGTGGAAACTCTTCCTTGAAAAGAGCTCGTGGAGGCTATGGAACGCGAAGGCGGTAGCGTGAGGTGACCTCACGATAGCCGCAGAGAGCCTGCACCAGTTCAGTGGTCTCAATCCGGCGGTTGACAGCGTCCTGCGGGGTGACATCCGTGATGTCCTGATGGTATACTCAGACCACGATCATGGAGCTAAAACCTCAACCCCCAGCAGAGGGGTGGGTGACCCAGATCAGTCTGGGACTGAGCATTGCCCATCTCAAATTGCGTTGAAGGTGGCTTCACGTTGTGAGGTCGTGCCAGGCAAGACCTTGGTGAGCTGGGTTTAAGGGGAGGCCGTTGGAGGCATCTCAGGCGACGCTGGGAACAGTCTCCGCTGCTTCGTAGGTTCTCGTCTTCCTCGTTGTCCTCGTCATCATCGTCTTTTGTGTCATGACCATGGCCGCTGCTTTTGGAATTGTGGATGCCAGGATTGATTCTCCGTCCTGGTGCTGCTGTTTCTCTCCCCGCTGCTCGCGCTTCACACTATCGTCATCATCATCGTCGGCCGTCTCCAGTTCCTACTCCAGTACCTCCTGAAATATCTCATCTGCTGCCATCTCCTCGTCCTATGGTCCACCTGGTCTTCATGTCTTGGGGATGTCATCTCCTCCACAAACGACATCTAACCTCTATAATCGGCATTTCAACTCCATCCAGAAACGGCGTTCAACTTCCCCACAAACGATATCCAACCTCTATAATCGGCAGTTTACACCCATCCCCAAACAGCACTCAGCCTCATCCAGAAACGGCGTCCAACCTCTTACAGGCGCCTTCCATTAACTGTACAGTACAGCACTGTATCCATTTCTTTGAAGTTCTATGTTCCTCCAAGCACATAGGCGACTGTTTCTCTCTCTGTTCTCAGACTTCCTTCCTCGTCTTCCCTCCTCACTTTGCGCGCCATCCATACACAGCCGTCATCTTCACCCCCGAAAATACAATTGCGTTCGATCACCTTCAGCCAGATCCACCGCGAAACTCACTAAACCAATGCTTATTTTGGTCTGATGATAGATATGGAAGGGTAGAGCGGTGTCCGTTAATTCGGCTGACCGCAAGTACGCACGAAACCGGAGCAAAGAGAAAGGAAAATTGATAAGGGGTTAAGGGCTGTAACTGAATAAACTGCATGAACTGAGACAATTGGTTGCTAAAGATGTGCTAAACAACGCTTCTCCTCTACGTTTGCTTCCGCGGTCGCCCTCGAGGTTTCTTCCCTTGCTGGCCACTCGATTCTTTGGCTTCCACACTCACTTTCTGCTTGATCTTTGATCCTAGTCGGCCTCGCTTGTTATTAACCCCGCGTTATGCTCGAATACGGGCCTCGAATTTATCTACCAACTCCTTTGCATGTCCCAGTGTGTGCGCAGGTAGTAGTGTGGGGTGCCAATCCACTAAGTAATACGAAACGCCATCAAGGTCCTCTTTACCAATAATCTCACGGACGTCCCAGTCCGGGTCGACATTAGTAACCACTGGGCAGACTTGAAGTTCTGCTGGAGAAGTGACGCCAGAAGCGGTGTTACTCCTAGAAGAGTAAGAGCTGGTAAGTCTGGCGTCGAGAGAAATGCTAAACGTCCCATTATCCCCTTTACTATCCTCGTCATCGTCTGATACCAGTAGAGATAACTGCGATAGGTTGTTACGGGAGACTTTCCAACGGCCTTGTGGAGTGGAAACCTTCCGCCGTTTAGAGCAGATATCGTCGGCTCTTGACTTGCCGGAATTGCTAACAAGTTCCCTGCTGCCTTCCTTATCTTTATTATGAGGAAGCAGCGACGTAATAGAATCAAGTGAGGTAGAGGTAGAGAGAGGAGAGTTAGACCTCTGTCGTTTGATAGTCTGATGAGGCATGGCTTTATTGATACCATTACCACTATCACCATGCTTATAGATCGTACAAGTGGAAAGTATAGGTAGGTGCTCTATATTAAAGGTATCACAGCCTGGTTGCCCACCTTCCCTTATGTAACGAGCATGTCCGGGACCGAGATTGTTATTCTCTTCCGACTCGTCATCGCAATATAATATTATTAGGTCATCTGTAATCTCGTGAGCAAATATTCTGTGTATTCACCCAAGGAACTCAGCGCGCTTACCGTGGGCACTACCAGCTCGAGATACACGAGATCCAAGAAGAATGTTATTTAGACCTTGATTATTACCCTGTCCTACAGTGCTCTCCACAGCTGGTCGCTCTTCCGCCGATTCGAGCTTACCGTTTGATGATAGTAATCGTATCAAAGATGAAAATTCAGTATCGATATCATTATCAAACCCACCTCTCTCTGTTATCGAGGCTGCTGTATGGTCAGACGAGTAAAGTAGTTGTTTTAGGACTTTCTTCTGAACATATGCCTTGAGTTCTTACTAGATTATCCTTAGAAACCTATGTGCCTTGGACGGTAGCTAAGTTATCTCTAACAGCCTACTGACACTAGTCATTGTTGTCTAGCGCTCTTCTTAACGCTAGCAGCGCTTCAACTAGTACGCTGCTTAATTCGGTCGCTAAATTCTTGTTAAATTTAGACGAGGATTTCCGAATGCTCGTTTTTGATAGTAGTTTCAGATCGTAGTGAACAAAAGCAAAGGCTGTCATGCTGAGAATAGAGCAAACGCAATAGAGCGCCTTCGGAATCCGATCAGTAGATAAAGAATATAAACTGAACAGACCATGAAAGGGGGATCGGAGGCTTTTATAGACCTGTAAACATGTACACTCCCAAGACCTGCTCTATAGGCCACATCTGTGGTCCTTCTCTGCTGATCTAGTACCTCACTGCCATCCTTTCCGTGAGATGCCACATTTGCACTTTCGCGTCGCAAATCCTTGTCTCAATCGCTAGGAGAGATGGAAACACTGATGGCCAATAGGAAGTCTATTTCGAGAATCTGCTTTGCATTTAGAGGCCTTCGTGTTAGGGGCTCTGCTACAAGGCGTCTCAGGGTCACCGAACCGGGTCGTACGTCACTATGCTGTGAAAGCTCTTCCGCAGATCCGAAATGACTTGCCTGAATCAGCACCATCTGGTCGCCGTAAAACCTCTCCAGAGTATCTCAGCTGGCAAAAAGGCGTGTTGCTCCGTGACGACCCCCTCCGTGCTGGCTCAGCCAGCCTTCCCCTGGAATAGTCTACTACATTACCCACGCCATGCCCAGACGCTAATACGTAAGCTCGGTATCCTGAGATCCTTTGAGTCTTCAAGTCTGGAAGTGTTTGCCGAATACGGAAATTAAGAGGTATTCTAGACCCTCCCAAAACCTGCTGAGTGTTCATATATGTAGTTGACTTGGCCGGCCTCGCTCTAGTTGCCCCCTTCCCCTAGCGTCACCACGTCATCCACTTGAGCTTAGGTTTTCCGTTCCCAAAGCGTTGCTATACGGAAAAGTGTCGCCTGCCTTAAGCCCTCCTCTTCCTTCTCAAGGCACTCCTGAATCCTAACAACGAGCGAGACCTTCGTAAAAACCTTCGTAGAAACCTGGCAGACACCAGACACGCAGGTGATTCCTTAAAGGGGAGGAGGCGGCGGTAGAGAAGAATGCTATGCTCACGAAGAGTGGCTTGCTATTATCGACCGTGGATCTATCCTAGGTGAACGGGAAGAACTGCCGCAGTGGTGTACGCGTCGCAGAGTGTCGGCAGCTCCGAAACGATCTAGGTTATAGTAGAGTCAGGATAAGGCAGATTCTTAACGGTAACGCTAGCGAGAGAACATTAAGGGGCACATTAAGGGGCACTTACAAAGGGCACTAGCTAATCAGAGCGCAAGCCTAGCCTAGTAGGGGAAATTTGAGGCGTGGTACAGGTAATAGGGCCGGCTCGTGAGCCATAGGATGATCGCGAAGGTCTGACGGCGAGGGTGGCATGTGGCTAGCATATTAGAAACTTGGTGAAGGACGAGAGAAGGTGAAGTTGGAAATAGCACTGGATTTATACACGAGGTAGGGTCTCAAGGGGAGCTAGTAGGGGTCGCGACCACTCGTTCCGCCCGTCTTAGAGTAGTAAGAGCGCTAGAGCAGCCAGGCCCTTAGGCGAGAGATTCCCTGTTCAGGAAATCCCGGTTTCTTAATACAGAATCACCGACACGCAGAATATTAATCTTATCTAGATTAAGCTAGGCTATATTTATAGTAAAGCCTTAGTAAATCGCTAAAGTTAGTAATAGTTCTAATTCTTATTTAAAAGTATTATCTTTATTAAGAATAAGATCCTAAGAAATCTTCCTTATTTTAGCTTTTTAAAAGAGATTAGAGATTTAAGCTCTAATCTTAACTTACTTTTATACTTTTTAGAACTTTTAAGTAAGAGTTAATTTAGAGAATCTCTTTAATAGACTTATAGATCTTAGTAACTTAGTAAGTAGTATCTTATTCTTCTTACTCACTTGAATAGTCTTTATTATCGAACTACTATTAATTACGCGATAAGAAGGTAATTTATTTTATAAAGTTAATAGTAATACTATAGAAAGTAGTATTTATAACTTAGAGTCTGGCTATAAGTAAGCTATAATAAGCTACTATACTAAAGAAAGTTAGTCTATAATAGGTCGCGGAATAAGGGTAAGTAGATTAATAGTTCCTAAGTAAGAGTTATTATTACTATCGCTTAATAGCTAGTTTACTACTTTTTCTTAATAGTTAATCTAGTAATCTAATATCTTGAATCGCTTCTTATATATAATATAGTATTAAACTAAGTATTAAATAGCTTATAGTTTACTTTATTATATCTCTAAGTCCTTATTTATTCTACTAAAGCGACTTATTATAATAATCTAAGCTAAAGCCTTATAGTAGTAAGTAAAAAAAGAGTTAATAGTAAAGTAGGTTCTATTCTTATTATTCTTAATATATAAAGTAAATATATCTTTTATAATATATATAGTCTTATTATTAGTAGAGTTAATATTAACTATATCGAAGTTAGGATCGACTTAGCTAAATACTTTTACTATATAAAGGCGAAGCTAATACTATATATTAAAGTAGTTAAATATATTAGAGTAGTTATCGCAGATAATATAAAAGCGTATTCGTAGATAGTAGTTCTTTATAATATCCTTAATAAGTCTTAAGCTAGTAGCTATAGCTAATTAGTTTATATATAATTAAGAAGGTTTATAAGGTTACTATTATAAAAAGAGTTTAAAAGGAAGTTAATTTATAAAAGTAAGTAAGGTTATTAATACCTTATTTACTTATTAATCTATTTTAAGTTAAGCGAGAATATATTTAAGTTATTAAGTTATATATACAATAAGTACTAAGTGAACTATAGCTTAGCTATAATAGCTATAAGCTAACTAAGATAAATAAAGAATCTTGAATTAACTATAGTAAGCTATAAATATAACTAGAAATAATTATAAATATAAGTAAGAGCGCTAATTAGCGTAATAATAGATAGAAGTAAGGATATAGATAATAATAGCTATAAATATAAGGAACTTTAAAAGGCTTATAAGCTATTACCGGGTTTAAAAAGATTTCAAGCGTAAAAATTATTAATAGCTTACTAAGTATATTCCAAGTTCTTTACTTTATACTAAGAATCGTAATTAAGACTCTAACTTTTCTAGTAGACTAAGTAATATAACTTTCTCTAATAGCTAGTAACTTTAGAGTCTAATATAGTTTTAATTTCCTATTTCTTTACTTTCTCTCTCTTATTATTAATAATAAACTTCAGGCCTAGCTTATTAGTGTTTATAAAGTAGTTAACCTAGGACATGCTATAATAAAGTAATAGAAAGTTTATATAGAAAATATTATAGATTTTCTAAGACTTAAGGAATCGGGGTTTATAAGCTTATATACTTATAGTCTCTAAAACTAGGAAAAAGCTGACTTTCTTAAGGCTAAGCTTCTTATATAAGCGATTAGTAGATAAATTCTTAGTACTAAGAAAAACTAAGTCCTTAACTTTAAATAAAAGATATTTATATTTTATATTATAATATTTTACTTAAAGGTTTTAAGTGTTTATAAAGTTAGCTTTAAGTTCCTTATATAACTTTACTAAGTAGTTAGAGAGCTGTTTTATAAGTTCGGACTTATATTATAAGAGCGACTTAATTTAGAAAAGTTTAATAGATACGCTATTCGCCTTAAATAGAGAGACTTTTGTAATAAGTAAGAAGTAATTATACTAAGTGTATTTCGTAAATCCTAGGAAGTCTGACTAATCTTCTTAATTAAACTATATAAAGGTATAAAGAAATATTTCAAGTATAGTATTTATATGTTCTATCTATCTGTTTATCTGTGAGTAGAATATTATAAAGACACTATAGTTGACCTAAAGAGCTTTAGTAATTATATCTTAAAATAATAAGATAAATAAAAACCTCTTATCTGAAATAAAATTATCTAGTATACTACGTTTAGAGAAAATATATTAAATAAAGAGATAAGCTAATTAAATCGAGTTTATATCTTTTATAATAAGTAGAAATTCCAGTTTCTTAGTAAACTAGTAAACTATTATAAGGATCGCGTTGTAAGTTAATATAAAACTATCTTTTTTATAAGAGAAGTCTGCGGAATATTTTACTTATAGGAGATTAGTAATAAAGTCTATTAATATACTATTCTAAGGTCTTATTAGAACTAGTAGTAGCGCGAGTTCACTTAGAGTTACTTCATAAGGATTCTTTACTCTTTTATATATAAAGTAAAATATATAGTAATCTTCTATATTAGTATCTATTCCTTACTAGTAAGAAAAGTTATTTTATAGAGATAATAGTTCTATCCTTTCCGAAATATCCTATAGTAAGGCTATTATAGAATTCTATAAGTAAAGACTTCTGGAATTTTCTATTTAGTAGAATATAAAAGTAAGTACTCTTATATACTAATATACTATTCTCTTAAGAATACTTATTACTAATAAGAGTAAGATATAGTTACTAAATACGTTTAATATTAAAGGTAAAATTATTAAATAGGATATTAGAATTAGTAGAGATAAAAGCTAGTAGGTTAGGGACGCGGATTTTCTATATCTTAGTAAAGTAGAAATAAAATCCTATTTTTATATATTCCTATACTATTATAATAATAAAGTATAATATATCTTTATATCTATCTAAAGCTAAAAGGGTATTAATATCTTATACTACTATAGGAGTAAGTAGTAGCTTAGAGGGAGTTAGTATTATTAGTATATAATTAGGTCTTTTTAATAAAGTATCTACGGGATTCCTAGACCTTAATCGATAGATAATTTTAAAATTAATTATAAATAAGGTAATAACTTATCTAACCTATTATCTTATTAAAGTACGTATAGTTATAAAATATTAAAAGTTATTATAATCTAATAAAATAGTGATTTTATATTATAAGCTTTATAAGTAATAGTACTAATACTTCATAGACTTAATAATTACTAAGAGTTCTTAGTTAAAAGTAGAATAATTAATCTCTATAGAAGTAAA